GTCAACGCCGACTTTGCAGTCAATTCCGTGGTTCTGAACTCCATCGTCCGGGGCGGAAAATCGTGAGCCATGCGGCTCCAAATGTTACATAGCTTAGTAAGATTATATAGATAGATTGAGATTAGATGATTCAATTAGAAAGATTTATGTTTTTGTTTACATACCCTCTGGTAAACTAACACAGCTATTGAAAATCACCATTTTGAATAGGTAAATCTTCTATAAAACTAACACAGCTATTGAAAATCACCATTTTGAATAGGTAAATCTTCTATAAATAGGCAACTATACCATAGCTATTTTGGTTTACTGGTAAACTAACATAGCGAACTGAAAAATCATCATCTTTAAAACGGTATAAAACGGTAAATCAACGAACTAAATGGGCCATTTCCAGTTCGCTATGTTAGGCATTACCAGAGGGTATGTGGATATAATGGGAATGTTTTAAATAAGATATACCTAGAATACAATGGGAATACAATGGACATATCAGATAATATACACTCTGGTAAACTAACATAATTATGGAAAATCACAATTTTTAATGGATAAATCCACTATTTCTATGGTCATTTTCCAGTTTGCTTTTTGTATGTTTACCAGGCCGGGTATATCTTGGGAGCGGTGGCATAGTCAGGAAAGGAGTTGATTTCAATGCAATATTGGTTGATAGCCTTGCGTGATGACTGACCGAGCTGTACAGATGGCCCATTGACTTCGACATTGTTGGCCCATTGTTCGCGAATTATATCAGCTAGGGCCATGGCTTGATGGGCTTAATTTCATCAAGTTGTACCACAAAAAAAGAATCGATGGCCATAGCTGTAATACAGATGGCCGGATTCGACATTTCTCCTCTTTTTCAGTGGTGATTTATGATGATTTACCTATTAAAAAACTAAAAGCACCATTTTTCATGAGAAAACTCATTATAATTAAATGGTGATGAACATCATTGTTATGTGGAATTACCAGAGGGTATCCCTTCTAGTTCCCTTTGTGATAGCTACCCAGTGTGATTGTACCTTGGTACTTGATTTAGGCGGTTGAAATAACCTATCTGGCAGGCAACTGGAAGAGGTTTTGGGAATAATATCAGATGGAAGATGAGGGAATATATTTGAGAAAGGGATTGTAAACCATTTCTCGAAGCAAAAGATATCGTCAAAAAGGTGTCCCTGTAGGGGAACGCGAACAGAAATAGAATCAAACACTGAATAACAGATAAACTAGAGGCAATAACATACATATATATATATATATATATATATACGACAACATTTTGAATTGGGCAAGCTGTAACCAGAAGAAATCAAGCAACTAGACTGGGTCTTGGTGGGCTACGCTCCCATGAAACCTCTATTGCTTCCAATAGTTTTCCCATGATTGTTGGTTCTATCATTTGGCACTAAATGTTCACAACAGTTAGGACTTCGTTTCTCATGAATAGAAACTGAAGGCGAGCAATGGAACACAGTTTTTTTGCCCGTGCTTTGCAATTGGGGTTTTGGTTTCTTTGATCCAGTTGGATATCCACATTCTTCTCTGGTAGATCTTCTTGTTTTGTTGGCAAAATCCTTGTTTTTGTTGGTCAAAGCGTCGTTTTGGTTGGGTAAACCACGGCCTTTGTTTGGTTGTTGGGTAAACTTTGATTTGTCATGGTTAAACCACCAAATTTGAATGCTTAATCAACATTTTCGAACAATTACCATGTTTACTAGGTAAGTCATATGTCAATTGACCATGTTCCATAGCTCACAGTCAAATTACAGGATGGTCTATTACATTGTGGTACTGGTATCATATTCCCATGTTATTTCCGTGATATTCCCATGATATCCCCATGTTTGTTGGTTTTGTTCCACCGCTTTATGGCTTGGTTCCAGATTTTCCCCGGGTAAGGCCCGTAAGGCCCGGCCAAGGTCAAGGCCTGCTCAAGTGCAATGCGCTGGGAGGTGCACCCTGGTGGGTATATGATACCTTGATTAATTCATGGTTAAAGGATGTTAAAGGTGAGACCAGAAACTCTATGGAGAACTGCCCATTTATAGATGATTCACCTATTAGAATCTAGGTCAATCGGCTGGATGGGTACAAACTAATCCTAGTCTTTTGGTATCTGGCTGGGAATATCTACGTTCACCAGCAAAGAATTTGTCATTTTTTGCAGGGTATCTGGCTAATTGGCAATGTATATATTTGGTTGGTGGTTTGGAACATTTTTTATTTTTCCATATATTGGGAATAATGATCCCAACTGACTTTCATATTTTCAGAGGGGTTGAAACCACCAACCAGATATGTATATATATATATACACACTGTGGGGCCCCCAAACGATAGCTAAGTTGGTGAACATAACTCCAATATCTATGGTTTATGATAATTATAATGATAGTTAATGGGGGTTATTAAACAATCTTATAACTCCGGGGGCCCCACATTGTAGTGATTATCGAAGGAAGTTTAGAAGTCAAACTTCCGACAATATGGACAG